CCCCTTCATTCATTTCATAATAAAGTAGGGAATACTATGAAATTTCTTAATTTCTGAATAACAGAATTTTGGGTAGAGGGAGCCCTCAGGCACATGTTTCATAGGTCTTTCCAATGGTAGGTTGAGCAGGAGTGGACAAAAACCATCACTGCAACAAGGGACCCAGCCCCGTCGTGAGCTGCCAGGGGCATTTTGGCTGCCCTGGACACAGTTGAATGTGGAAAGCACTTTGGTTACTAACCTGCCTGTGCCCATAGGTACCTGTGGTTACCAAGCATTGCCTGTAGAGTGGTCTCATCCAGTTTCACAAAGTCTGAGAGATGGGGCGTTGTCTTGACTGTTCAGGCCACCATGAGGATATTTAGAGGTTGACTGGTCATGCAGATGTGTTTCCAAGCATCTAGAAGCCAGGTTTGATTTCTTTATATTTAAATATAATCCAAGGAAAATGAGGTACAATTTTCACGAAATCAGTATTGGATAAAAATAACAAATGGAAAAGAAAGACCCAAACCAAAAAATGCAGAAATTAATATATACACATCCTCGAACCACATTACTCCATTGAATCCTGACTTGCTTCCCCAGCTTGAGGATGGTACCTGTCGATGCTGCACTAAAACCAATTAGCTGTTGGCCATCCGAAGTCCTGCGCTTATGCTGCTCCCATTGAGCCATTCCTTTTAGTGTCTGCCTGCTCTTCCAGCCGATGAACGTGTGATCCGAGCTGAGAGAGAAGCGGCGTGGAGCACGTTTGAACACGCACCCTGTGGGGATCAACCCATCAGGACAGCTGCATCTGGGCTGAGAGCTGCAGAAAAAGGAAAACCTCTTCTGTCCCTTGTGCACATCTCTGCTATAATTTATATTGCTCTGGCAAAAAGCATCCTTGCTGAAGCACTGGGCACGAAGGCAACGGATGATCAGAGTCTGGCGACAGCAGGACAAGCTACAGCCGGTGATGAAAGTCCAAGAGATGGGGCCGAAAATGCTCTATGATGGGAGTTTTGCTCAGCAGTCTTCCTGGTGGGTTTCGGTGGTGAGTGGCTGGGTGTTTCATGGCTCGTGCCAGCTTCAGGTCTGCTCATTTTAGGGGATACCCAGGGGCTGGGATCCTCTGCGACAAACCTGCTGGCAGCAACGAGTGAAAAGGCTCCACTTGGGGTTCAGGGCTGCTCTGGAGCTTGCCTCCTCGCCGTCAGCCCTGTGAGGGGCTGCTCTTGGGATGGAGGGCTCTGCTCCAGACCTCGCAGCAGCTCTCCCAGGACGGCCAGGGCTTCCTGCAGGCCCTGGCCGGTGTGGGCGCTGCACCCCCGGAGCACCCATCGGCGCCCCGCCAGCTGCCCCCACCGCAGCCTCTCTTTTTGGGAGCCAGTGCTCCCGGCACCTCCTGTTTGTTGGCCAGGAGGAGGACGGGGACACCAGCCATGCTGGGGTGGCTCAGTGTTTCCTCCAGCGCCGCTGCTGCTTCAGGCAGCCGGGCCATGTCTGTGCTGTCGAGCACAAAGATGAGGGTGTTGGTGTCCTCCAGGTAGTGGGGCCAGCTTGCCCGCAGGCTGCCTTGTCCGCCAACGTCCCAGAGGGTGAAGGACACGTGACAGGGTGTTTGCAGCGACTCCACGTTGAAGCCCACCGTCGGGCAGGTCTCCACAGCCTGGCCGCTCTTCAGTTTGTACAGAAGGGTGGATTTGCCAGCAAAGTCGAGCCCCAGCATGACGACACGAGCATCTCTTTTGCGCCAGCCTTTGGAGATCAGCTTCCCCATCAAGATGCTGCCGCAACCGTGGCAAAAAATTTGCAGCCAAAAAAAGAAAGCAAGCGTAATTCCTCGATAATGTCAGTTAATAACAGAGTGCTCAGTCCTCCTTCCCTGAGAGAGCACCTTAGGTTTGCTGAAGAAAAACAGGCAGCTTGCTTTTGCTTCTCTTCGTAGCTAAAATGAGGTGAGAGCTATTATTTATGAGGTGTGGAGCAGAGCCAGGGAGTGCCGTTCGAAACAATTACTATACCCCAGCTCCACTGCCGCTCACTTCCATTCTCATTCATGACCTGAAGTGATCAGTGCAAAAGCGAGCCAACATTTTGCAGGAAGAGGTGGGGAGACAGGAGAGTAAGTTTCCTCCTCACCACGTACAGAAATAAATGAGCTTCTGTTCATTGGCTTCTCTAGGGGAAATCCACCCCCAGCAGGACAGAACAAGGAGGAACCCAGGTTTCAGACCAGGGTTACTCTGGAAATTTGCTGAATCACAGCTCAAGGGTGTGGATTTAAACATGAGCAACAAGACAACTGACAATTTTATTGCCAGTCTTACGTTAAAAAGTACAAAACCAATCTCTGTAGCATCAGCTTTTACTACCTGTTGCACAGACAGTAATGACAGCAATTTAAAAAAACACACACAAGCATGTTTTTTTAATGTTTCATTGAAAAATTACTAAGTCAAAATGCCTTCCCTGGGGTGAAAATCTATAAAATTCTTTACATCAAGGTATTTGCTACATTTTAACTTCCGTAAGTGAAGCAAAGTCAGTCCTTTGTGGCTGAGGGTGTAAAAAAATCCTTTAAAAGAAGGGGAAAATGTTTAACAACACAGCATCACTTGAACTTTACACGCCAGAGGCAAAAATGTGCTGCTGAAACAGCTCCGAGAGTCGCTTGTGCAAGAGCAGCTGATGGCAGCCAGGCAGAGTCTCAGCAAAGCTGATATTTACCTTCTTTATTGGTGAGGTTTTGCTCCTAAAAGGCTGCTCAGAGGCGTGCAGAACTGAAAGCAGCTGTAAATCTCAGATTAACGCAGAGCTTCTCTCCAGCCACCTTTATTTGAGAAGGAAATGTGGTTCATCTGCACTTCCCTGGGATCAGGGGGGACTCCCACGCGTCTGCAGGAGGTGCAGTTTCCCCAGCGATGATCTCCACATGACAGCTCGATGTCACAAGCCACCATTGCTGGGGATGAAGTTCAGCACAGCACGCAGAAGGGACTCTCTGGTCAGTGACCAGGTCACTGATGGCCAACAAGAGGCATATAACTTCCTCTAGGGGCAAGATGTGTCCGTGGGCCATCTTTTAAAGAAAGGAAAATGAAGGAGAAAACCAAACAGGGAGTCCAGCCCAGATAGGCCGCACGGGGCTGCAAGGGGTCCTACAGATGATGTTTTGCAAGGTATTTCTGTGATACTTGTCTTTCCTATAGTTAACCCACAGCACCAAGAGCATCCACGAGCTTTGTGCGGCTTGTGGATATACAAGATGTGTTGCTACGGTCAGGCTTTAGGTTAATTCGAAAGCTGATGTTTATTTACAGCAGTTGTTGCAGAGTTAGTCTGACCGTATAAATGCACCACCACGCATGTGGTAAATCATGCAGTATGTGTTCATGTGCAAACTTTTCTGAGACCAGTCTATAAATGGAAGAAGGGCAGGAAGCTCGCTAGATGGGAATAAAAAAACAGAACTGCGACGGGCAGCAGATCCCAATCCTTCAGGGAACTGTTTGCACACCCTGCAGTGTAATGCACTGCCTGACATTGTCCGACTTCTTCATTTTTAAAAATAAGTTAAATTGTTGTCTGGCTCCTTAATATGCTTGTTCGCCATTTTGGGAAAACCTTCCTCCCCGTGTTGCATTGTACTGTAAGATCAAGGTAGCTGGTATCTTTTGACGTACCAGTGGGCTGATTGATTGAATTGTCTCTTGATCTTTTCATGTTTCTCCTGCCTTTGCTACTGCTCGTCTTCTCTGAGGCTTGATAGGAGGAAGTGGCACACATCTGTTTCATCTGACCAGACATTCATAGCACTGACATTTCTTTTAAGTAAACTATAGATATAGGAAGCAAGGGTGGAGATTCTACCATCTAATGAATAATTGAGTATTTGAAATATGATCTGATAGAGCCTTTATTGCATCACTCTCTAACATGCTACAGAAGTAGGCTGCCTCTGTAAAAAAAAAAAAAAAAAAAAAAGAAAAGAAATAAAGCCAGAATAAAGAATGTAATTCAGGTACAGTTTTATTGAAGATTACTTCCAGTTTTTCTATGACTCAGAACAGAGTAATTCATCGACAAATAGAGGCAAGTCTATATCCTTTTTTTTAATATTCTCACACCCCATGTATTGAACTGCAGCCTATTTTCTTTCTTCCTGCTACTTATTCCAAATATGGAGTGCAAACTGTACCTACAGAGTCTGTTCCACCCACACCTACGTTATAAAAGCATAGTATTTCCAATAAATAATAAATGGGACACATTGCAATTCTGTTTAAGAAAGAATGAAAGAAAGTAAAAGCAGATGAGATGAGCTCTGAGTGAATCTATTGCTGGAGCAGAAAGGCTGTATGCTAAATAATTCAGAAACTGTGTTCAGAGACGACGACAGCCCTACCCCAGCTATGTCGTGTGTGGGCACAACAAATGTTCTTGCCTCATGCTTCATGTCTCCGAATTCACAGGAGTGAAGCAAATGGTCGTTAATTCCATTTATACTTTCATAGAATTTCAGCCAATTCTTTTGCTGTTTGCTAGGTATGCATTCCCCTGTTTCCTAGATACTGATCACAAAGAGCAACAATCAGGACCAGCGCTACAGAGGAGAATCCCCCCTCCCCCCCACACCCTAAATATTCCAGTAACTGGAATTTTGTCCCAATCACTATGTTCACTGTCAAAGCATTTTGCCTTCAATCCATGGGGCACAGGCAGGAGGAACAAAGAGACTATAAACTGAAAGAGGGCAGATTTAGACTAGATATAAGGAAGACATTTTTTACAATGAGGTGGTGAGGCCCTGGCACAGGTTGCCCAGAGAAGCTGTGGCTGCCCCCTCCCTGGCAGTGTTCAAGGCCAGGCTGGATGGGGCTTTGAGCAACCTGGTCTGGTGGAAGGTGTCCCTGCCCATGGCAGGGGGGTTGGAACTGGGTGATCTTTAAGGTCCCTTCCAACCCAAACCATTCTGTGATTCTATGATTCTGTGACCTGCAGTAGGACAGGAGACACAGGCTTTGGAGAACAAGCTGATAGCTGATGGCTCCCTAGGGAAACCATGTTATCTCAGGGTTAGACCATGGCACTTTTAGCATGGCTGTCAAGATAGTCTTCATGACTGTGATGCCGTACACCAAAACAATGTAAGTGCTGAAGCAGATAGGTCTAATTCTAACCAATTCACTGGAAATCAGTGTTGATCATGCAGCAAAGGTGCAGCTGAGTCCATCAGAAACGCTTCTGGAAAAGACAGTGCCCCTTGTTACACACTACAAAACCACCAGAAGTATTCTGAAAAGCAAGGCAGAAACTTCCAAGCAAAGTGCACCTCAATCCTTCCCTTTTATTCATGCAAAACACTTCCCATTAATGGCCTCACAGGCGTTGCACAGCCACTGCTGTGCTGTCTCTTCCATTGCACATGAGGTGACTTTTGCATCAAAGAGTTAATTAGAGCCATGTGAAAGCTAAGTCCCTCTTGCCACTGAAACCAAAAGATTATCTTCACTAAAACTATAAATATTTTTTTATCATAAATAGTTTTTCAACCAAAACTGAATTTCTTTGTAGATAATATGTAGGTATTATGGGTATAATATGGGCCATTATTAAATGACCTCAGAAATCCCACCCGAATAATATTCACTATATCCATCCGAGTGTCAGGGCGCCAAGGGCACTGAGGGGTCTCACCAGCCCTAACCAGCCTCCCTGGGGGTGTCCCTGCAGTGTCCCCAGGCAGCATCCCCAGCAGTGATGCTGTGGAGCTCAGCAGACAGGTGCTTTCCCCCCAGCACACCGCTGCAACAAGCGCAACCCAGAGGGCATGTCCCTGTGGAGCTCAGCAGACAGGTGCTTTCCCCCGGAGGGGGAACAACAACAACAAGCGCAACCCGGAGGGCATGTCTCTGCCTGGTGGTGAAAGAAGCTGGGGTGGGGGTTTGGTCCAGCCCATGTCACCTCTTTGGAAGGCAGCTCTGGGGAGACACAACCCTGAGCAGAGACAGGAGTAACAGGAGTAGATCTGGTCCTTAGTGTATGAGTGTTTGTCCTGAGGGCATCTGCTTAAAGCGACAAGTATATCCCAGCCCAGTGAAGGCAGAGTGTACCTCCCCATCCAGACTTGCTTGTGTCTCTGAGGAAAGCCACCAAAGCTGCCCTTCCCCCACCCCTGCCAATATTTCCTGCAAGACCTCCTCGCTATATTGTATGTTGAAGGACCATCGATGGGGTTCAGACTAGCAAGTGTCGAGAAAGCTTGCTGGGATCTGATGGAGGCCCTGGACACAGGTGGATGTATTGACCTGGACAGCCCACCTGCCTACCTGCTGGCTGGCAGTCATCTTCAAGGGGACTTCCCACGAGTAAGAAATCAGGCAAGCAAGGCAAGAGACGAGCATGGCTGAGTCAAGACCTGCTGGTCAAACTAAAGGGCAAGAAGGAAATGCCCAGGCAGTGGAAGCAGGGACAGGTACCCTGGGAAGAGTATAAGGACGCTGCCCAGTTGTGTAGGGATGGGATCAGGAAGGCCAAGATGCAGCTGGAGTTAAACTTGGCAAGGGATGCGAAGAACAATAAGAAGGGCTTCTACGGGTGTGTCAGCCAGAAAAGGAAGGTTAAAGAAAGCGTACCCCCCCCGGATGAGCAAGACTGGCAAGCTGGTAACAATGGACGAGGAGAAGGCTGAGGTGCTCAACAACACTTTTGCCTCAGGCTTCACTAGCAACCTCTCTTCCCACACTTCTTGAGTGGATGGGCCACAAGATGGGAACT